CTTTGTGCATTGTATTAAGTCCAAAGGCCCCAACACAAGATGGGTTATGCACAAGATTTTAGTCAGACCAAGCTATAACATAATATATTTACCACGACAGCAGTAAAATAAGATAACAGTAGGGAGGCTATATTAAGGGGGTACCGGTACAGAGTCTATGTGCGGGGGCACCGGTTAGTCGAGGTAATTGAGGTAATATGTACATGTGGGTAGAGTTAAAGTGACTATGCATAAATAATAAACAGAGTAGCAGCAGCGTAAAGGGGGGGGGGGGGGGCATTGCAAATAGTCCGGGTAGCCATGATTAGCTTATGGCTTGGGGATAGAAGCTGTAAAGAAGCCTTTTGGACCTAGACTTGGCGCACCGGTACCGCTTGCCGTGTGGTAGCAGAGAGAACAGTCTATGACTAGGGTGGCTGGAGTCTTTGATCATTTTTAGGGCCTTCCTCTGACACCACCTGGTATAGAGGTCCTGGACGGCAGGAAGCTTGGCCCCAGTGATGTACTGGGCCGTACGCATTACCCTCTGTAGTGCCTTGCGGTCGGAGCCTGAGCAGTTGCCATACCAGGTGGTGATGCAACCAGTAGGATGCTCTCGATGGTGCAGCTGTATAACTTTTTGAGGATCTGAGGACCCATGCTAAATCTTTTCAGTCTCCTGAGGGGGAATAGGCTTTGTCGTGCCCTCTTCACGACTGTCTTGGTGTGTTTCGACCATGATAGTTTGTTGGTGATGTGGACACCAAGGAACTTGAAGCTGTCAACCTGTTCCACTACAGCCCTGTCGATGAGAATGGGGGCTCTTTTTTTTTCCTGTAGTCCACAATCATCTTCTTTGTCTTGATCACGTTGAGGGAGAGGTTGTTATCCTGGCACCACACGGCCAGGTCTCTTCCCGCTCTTCCAGTCCATCATGAATATCTATCCTCACCACTCAGTGTGTGTGTGTGTGTGTGTCTGTCTGTGTGAAGTGAGAATGTCCACCCTGGAGAAGATCTGTGAGGCCTTCAGCCTAGAGACCTGCCACCCATACTTCAGACTGTCGCTCAGCAGCTACCCCTCGCACAAGGTATGGTGCAGTAGGCCTAGACTGTGTCCAGCCTGGTGAACCAGTGTAGAATAGGCACCATACATTACTGTGCATTTGTAGCCATTTTCCCTGTGTGAGTTCCCAGTGGCCCTCCTGCAGAATGGGGTGAAGATGAACATACAAGCCGCCCACAGGTCTCAACCTTCAACCTTTTGCAGTCATACCTGTCAGACCCCATCTGAGACCAGGACTTCTTCAATGCCCGCACAGACAAAGAACTGGTGAGTGGTCGTGACATGGTACACACACACTGCCTTTTCATTCTCACTCCGGCTCTGACCAAGGGAGAGTAGTGTATTCAGTCACAAATAGTTGTTTATTTGGTAACAGCAGTTGTGTTCAGTTGAGAAACAGAATACATATCCCAAACAACGGAACAACAACAACAACACATTTATAAAGGCATATTTACAGGATATAAAAATTAGAAACACAGTGTATAAAATGTCTAAATTCTGCACAGGATTTGGTAACAAAATAACTCTTAAATTCTTACTTTTGAAAGAAATGTGACTGCCGTTATACACTGAGTATACCAGAAATTAGGAACACCTTTCTAATTTTGAGTTGCGTTCAGGTTATGGTCAGGTTGTACAATCCTCTGGTTAGATTGAGGCCAGGTTGTGCTAAGCTTGTGCTCTACAAGCTGCCAGTTGTCTGAAGATGGTCTGAGGTTGGGGTCAGGTTGTGGTCTATAGGCCTCTGGTCTGGTTCTCTTCAGTGGTCAGAAGGAAGGATTGTGGTTCTGGAAGTCCTATTACAGCCCCCTCAAAGCCTAGCGCAGTGATGAAGATGTTGATGACGACTGTGAAGAAAACAAATACTGTTGCTGTGTTGTTCATCATGTTCAGCTTTGAGTGTTTCCTCACATCATTCAGATCATACTTCACTGTAAAGAGAGAGAGAGAGAGTTATTCAACATGTTCACCTTCCTGTTTACAGTTTGCCATTAGTGTGTGTGCGTGCGTGCATGCGTGTTTATGTGTTAGTATGTGTGAATGAGTGACAGAGCAAGTGTAATACTAACCTATAAAGACCAGCAGTAGTCCCACGACAACTTGTAGCGTAATAGACACGGACAGCAGTACTATGAGAGGTTTGTAGAATCTGTACTGTGGCCCCACGTATAGAACAGTCTTTATCTGGGATGAGTTAGCCATGAGTAGAGCCACATCCAGCATACTTTGAGCTACACTCTTCTTAGTGGCATAATGGTTCATGTTAATCATCCGGTACACGTTTCCAGAGGGGTCAAGGCGGTCAAGGTTCGCCTGTGGGTTATAGGGTAGACCATCAGGCTATGAGTCACACTCGTCACTCTTGCACACACGCTCACACACACACACAGATGCAGTGGATGAACTACAGGCAATGCCAGGTGTTATATAACTGCAATACAGATGGGTGCCCATATCTTCTCACAGGGGTGGGGTTGGGAATTGTCAAGTACGGGTAAAGGTAAATACGAGATGTCAGAAGTGGGTGCGACACTCAGAAACACAAAGGGCATTGTCTGCTCTTCGCGGAGGCGAGACATATGGCGAGTAGCCAGACAGTGAAAATATTTCTGTTGTCAAAAAGTTTGAAAGCTTAATGTCTCCACTATAGGCTATGAATGCTCTTTAATAAAGCGAGTAGACTACGAGCAGTAAATTATATTGGATTGTAGATCCGTTATTTTATCAATGACTTGGGGGAATACTTTGTGAATTTTCCATACCAGTAGGAGTTATACAGTTCCGACTGGGCACTGACGTCAGTTCAGCATCTAGTTTTGATTTGTCAACTTACGTGAATTCAACGTGAAATCAACAAAAAAATTCAACATGTCATTGGATTTAGGTGAAAAGTTGGGTGAAAAAAAAGACAGAATACCCTTACATTTATGATTTTTTTTCAAATCCAATCAGTTTTCCACGTTGATTCAACGTCATCACATTGGTTGGACTCCGGGGTAGATAGTAAACATAAATCCGGGACAACCAGTTTTTTGCCCAGAGGGTCATAACTGCAACTGATCTCCTTGTAGCCCAATTCCAGATTTTCAGTCAAAATGTACAACGTCCTATTTAGTTGCTTATGACACAGTTAATAACGCGCTAGGACCCCCCCCCCTCACTGTAACCTGAGGTTTGAGGTTATAATGTTTAACTTACTTCAATGTCGTCTAGTTTGTTGAGAGTAATGTCCTCCCCATTCGCCCTTGCTTCACTGTCCATGCTGGCCGAGACAACTGTGGTTACCGATGAAACCTACACAGGAAAACTAGTTTAGAATAGTTACACACAGTACGATACCGTGCATCTTGCAAGTATCCTAAAGATCAGCTGTCATCTTCGGTTTGCCGTAGCCTTTCTTGTCACTGGTTTCAGGCAGCCAAACTCTTAAAACGTTGAGTGTATTTTCTAGGGTTGTGAGTTTTGCTTATTCAAAACTACCCCTCCCACTGTCTAATCTTACAAACACAGTATACTCAATTTCTCTCTCTCTCGCTCTCTTTCTCTCTCTTAAACACAGACAAACACACACACACACACACACACACACACACACAGCTCTGGAGTGGGAGGGGTTTTCCCCTCAATGAAGAACATAATACTTGCTCCTCTGGTTTCATTATTTCCATATGCTCTCTCTTTTAGATGGATGACAAACAGGAATGAACAAGATGTCATTTTAGTGATCATTAAACAACATTACCATCAAGCATTTAGTGTGGTGTTAGACAAACAAAAGTAGGATATCAAAACAAAATTCTGATCATGTTTGACATGTGTGTGCACACACGGATGTACACACGCACGGACGGACGTGCGCGCGCACACACACGTCCAGATATCCAGTGAGACAGACATGATGAGTGGTGATGAGAGTTGGGCACAGCTGCTGTGTTGTTAATCACTCCTGTCACTACAGTAGTGAGATGGAGAGTTAGTAATGAAGTACTCAATGGGGGATCCCTCTCTGAGCATGTCACAACAACCAGCAGAGAAATGTGTGTGGAGTTGAATACACTTCCCTTGTGTGATGGATAACGGATGCTATGTAGACCATCCCTCATTCTGAACAGTGCAAGACTAATCTCACGAGAGGTCATTTACAACCATTTTTTTATATATTACTTCAGCCATGTCTGTGAACTGAGACTGCTCTTCTCTGAGTCACGGAGGCTCTAGACCTATCTGCTGCCTTTGATACTGTGAACCATCAGATCCTCCTCTCCACCCTCTCCGAGTTGGGCATCTCCGGTGCGGCTCACTCTTGGATTGCGTCCTACCTGACAAGTCGCTCCTACCAGGTGGCGTGGCGAGAATCTGTCTCCGCACCACGTGCTCTCACCACTGGTGTCCCCCAGGGCTCAGTTCTAGGCCCTCTCCTATTCTCGCTATACACCAAGTCACTTGGCTCTGTCATATCCTCACATGGCCTCTCCTATCATTGCTACGCAGATGACACACAATTAATCTTCTCCTTTCCCCCTTCTGATAACCAGGTGGCGAATCGCATCTCTGCATGTCTGGCAGACATATCAGTGTGGATGACGGATCACCACCTCAAGCTGAACCTCGGCAAGATGGAGCTGCTCTTCCTCCCGGGGAAGGACTGCCCGTTCCATGATCTCGCCATCACGGTTGACAACTCCGTTGTGTCCTCCTTCCAGAGTGCAAAGAGCCTTGACGTGACCCTGGACAACACCCTGTCGTTCTCCGCTAATATCAAGGCGGTGACCCGATCCTGTAGGTTAATGCTCTACAACATTCGGAGAGTACGACCCTGCCTTACACAGGAAGCGGCACAGGTCCTAATCCAGGCAATTGTCATCTCCCGTCTGGATTACTGCAACTCGCTGTTGGCTGGGCTCCCTGCCTGTGCCATTAAACCCCTACAACTCATCCAGAATGCCGCAGCCCGTCTGGTGTTCAACCTTCCCAAGTTCTCTCACGTCACCCTGCTCCTCCGCACACTCCACTGGCTTCCAGTTGAAGCTTGCATCTGCTACAAGAACATGGTGCTTGCATACGGAGAGATGAGGGGAACGGCACCTCCTTACCTTCAGGCTCTGATCAGTCCCTACACCCAAACGAGGGCATTGCGTTCATCCACCTCTGGCCTGCTGGCCCCCCTACCTCTGCGGAAGCACAGTTCCCGCTCAGCCCAGTCAAAACTGTTCGCTGCTCTGGCACCCCAATGGTGGAACAAGCTCACTCACGACGCCAGGACAGCGGAGTCACTCACCACCTTCCGGAGACACTTGAAACCCCACCTCTTTAAGGAATACCTGGGATAGGATAAAGTAATCCTTCTACCCCCCCTTACCCCACAACCCCCCCCCAAAAACAAACAAAAAAACAACATATTGTAAAGTGGTTATCCCACTGGCTATAAGGTGAATGCACAAATTTGGATAAGAGCGTCTGCTAAATGAAGTAAATGTAAAATGTAAATGTATAAATGTGATTGAAAATCTGTTGGAGGAGTTGTGTATTATGTGTCATCACTGTTGCTTTATGGTGATCGGTTGTCTAATTCAGCTAGTTGGAGTGCTTTTAGAGTAACAACATGAGACAAAAAAAGTTAGCTCATGGACGGATTGAGATTGATGTGTGAGAGAGAGAGAGAGAGAGAGAGAGAGAGAGAGAGAGAGAGAGAGAGAGAGAGAGAGAGAGAGAGAGAGAGAGAGAGAGAGAGAGAGAGAGAGAGAGAGAGAGAATCACTCAATATTTAGCCACACTGTTAAAAGAGAGGGTTTTAAAAACAACAAACAAGTGGCAGCTCCATCATGTAAGGTATTATTGCCCTGGAAATGTCTTTGTAAGCAAACCCCATCTCTCTCCCACACAACATGACCTTATCTCCATTAGTCTTCAAGGCATTTCAGGGAGAATAGAGGATATGAGGAAGGGAAACAGTGACACATAAACTGTTCAGTGTATAGGGAAGAAGACAGCTATAAAGCAACTCCTTTCACTTCCTCTTACCGCCCAGACACCAACAACCTAGGCTACTTTCACAGTTATTCTCTCTTTCCCGCTTTGTAAACCTCTCTCTCCCTCTTTCTCTCTCATTCAGTAGGCCTATTTCTGTCAGTTAACAGATGGCATCTGTTGCTCAGCAGCCTGACTGTTCAAAGTCAAAGTGACTTGATATAGCAACTAGCTCTGGGGTAATCTGACTGGAGTGGGAAATATGTGTGGGTCGTGATGAGTTGTTCACTACATAACCAAACATATGTGGATATCTGCTCGTCGAACATGTCATTCCAAAATCGTGAGCATTCATATGGAGTTGGTCCTCCCTTTGCTGCAATAACAGCCTCCACTCTTCTGGGAAGGCTTTCCACTAGATGTTGGAACATTGCTGTGGGGACTTGCTTCCATTCAGCCATGAGCATTAATGAGGTCGGGCACTGATGTTGGGCGATTAGGACTGGCTCGCAGTCGGCGTTCCAATTCATCCCAAAGGTGCTCGATGGGTTGAGGTCAGGGCTCTGTGCATGCCAGTCAAGTTCTTCCACACCGATCTTGACAAACCATTTCTGTATGGACCTAGCTTTGTGCACAGGGAAATTGTCATGCTGAAACAAGAAATGACCTTCCCCAAACTGTTGACACAAAGTTGGAAGCAAAGAATCGTCTAGAATGACATTGTATGCTGTAGCGTTAAGATTTCCCTTCACTGGTACTAAGGGGCCTAGCCCGAACCATGAAAAACAGCCCCAGACCATTATTCCTCCTCCACCAAACTTTACAGTTGACACTATGCATTTGGGCAGGTAGTGTTCTCCTGGCATCCACCAAACCTAGATTAGTCCGTCGGACTGCCAGATGGTGATCACTCCAGAAAATGCGTTACCACTGCTCCAGAGTCCAATGGCGGCGAGCTTTACACCACTCCAGCCGACATTGTGCATGGTGATCGTAGGCTTGTTTGGGGCTGCTCGGCCATGCAAAACCATTTCATGAAGCTCCCTCTGATGCTTCCAGAGGCAGTTTGGAACTCAGTAGTGAGTGTTGCAACCGAAGACAGGTGATTTTTACGCGCTAACGCTTCAGCACTCGGCAGTCCTGTTCTGTGAGCTTGTGTGGCCTACCACTTCGCAGCTGAGCCATTGTTGCTCCTAGATGTTTCCACTTCACAATAGCAGCACTTACAGTTGACCGGGGCAGCTCTAGCAGGGCAGAAATTTGACTAACTGACTTGTTGGAAAGGTGGCTTCCCATGATGGTGCCACCTTGAAAGTCACTGAGCTCTTCAGTAAGGCCATTCTATTACCAATGTTTGTCTATGGAGATTGCATGGCTGTGTGCTCGATTTTATACACCTGTCAGCAAGGGGTGTGGCTGAAATAGACGAATCCACTCATTTGAAGGTGTGCCACATACTTTTGTATATACAGTGTATCTATTGATTTTAAGTTGTCTGTCAGCATTTGCCTGTAGTTCTGGCCAGGGTCAATTGGTCAATACACAGGTAGTTTCAATAAACAGACATATAAGCCTACCCTATTCTTAGTGCGTTTCCCAATGATTGTGCTTGGCAAAACGTACATGCACCATTGATCTAACAGCATGCGGGTAAAGGTGTTGGTAAGGTATTGATGGAATGAGGCCAATTAAATGGGAGGACAGCATAACTGGCACGCAGACGGTCTGCTATCAATTGACTTTCATTAATTAGTGCGCAGAACGATTGCGCTGTAATTGCTTTGTTAGTGCAACCACATTGGTCTCCATATTTTCGCGGAAGGCTAGCTCACTACATCTGAAAACCCTCGGGGAGGGTTAAAATATTTAATTAACCTATTCCATGTCAATTGATAGGCTAAGGATAGAAGCTTTCTCTGAATTTCAAACGAAAAGCATACTGTAGTAGACCAAAGCTCAGTCATCTGTACCAATGCGTTTTATTGTATAACAGAGTTGTATATTCATAATAAGCTTTAAGGCAAAAGTAACAGAAAATGCACAACAATTAATCAGTTGTTATACCATGCAAGAATATTCAAGTAGAAAAATAATCAAGAGACCCACTATATTATTTTGCAGGGGTATATCCACTTGTATTTTACATCTGCAACGCATTAGGCCTAAATCATAAAACAAACTACAGGTCAATTTGTCCTATATAACACATTTGTTTTATATAACTCTGAAACTTACACTTAGCCTATTCAATTCAAGGTCAGACAGAAGAGAGCAGATTCCGAGCCTGCGTCCTCAGTTGGATACAGACAGACTGCCTGCAGAGCCAAAAGCTAATCCCGTCGCTTTAGTCTTTATTTCTTCCCCACATGGGCTTCATCTGGAAAATAATACATGTTTGAGCATCTCATTACAAGAATATAGGGCCAGCAACCAACACAGCTGTTCATTAACTTAAAATCCCTTTGAGTGTTACTAATTCTGACAATCAGCGTGCGTAATTACCAACAAGCTTCCCCAAAACATAATATCTAATTTAAACGTTTCGATCATGATGCTTTCTGAGCATGTTTTCTGAATATTCGTCATAAAAGTAGCTTTCCAAAGACACAGTAGGCTACCCGTGATAGAGGGGTCCATATTATATTCATAATAAATCATGATAAATTATAAATTATATAAATATAAACATTTTATTCTTCACATCATAGTAATTCACACACAGCACCCACTTGTCACTCCTGTTCCGTCAAATCCTCGACAGGTGCGGATCTTTTGCCTGGGTGCTGTCTCTTCTCCGCGCGACTCTTGTTCACGTTGTCTAATAGCTCGAGCAACAGGTTGGCCTTACTGCAGCTAGGGTCCAGCAAGTCACAGGGACTGTTGGCGCCCAAATCCGGGCTCGTGTCATCCAAGTAGCGTTTGCCGGGGTGTTGGCGCTTCTCCAACTCCTTGAGGTCCCCTGCGTCTGACTCGTCGTCCACCTCTCGCCTGCCGGGATGCTGGCGCTTGCTGTACATCATGTATCGCTTGCCCGGGTGCTGACGTTTGCAGAGTTCACTTAGAAATGCGGGGTTCTTTGTAATCTGCTCCAGCATTAAGCGCTTGCCTGGATGTTGTCTTCTCTGGAGCTCCACAAAAGAGTCAATTTTGTCTTCGCGTTTTCCCGGGTGCTGTCTTTTCTGGACCTCGCCATAGTCTTCGTCCTCGTCCTCCTCTCGCTTCCCAGGGTGTTGCCTTTTCTCCAGCTCCACCTGGTACCTCTTACCGGGATGCTGCCGCTTCACCAGCCACTCTGGCTGAGAGGTCAATCCCTCTGTAAAAACAAATAATACATTATTAGTTTAGGGACAGCGGAAAATATCAATCTACCGCCAATTGTTATGCCATGCGTACATGTATTTCCAATTGAACACACAACGTTTTAATGGCATTTACTTGTGAAAGTTATGTTATCTAAAATATATATTTTCTATGTAAAACTTTTTTTCTGTGCATATGTTTTCTGTTTTCATTCTTCCACCATTAAACTGTGTGCTTTGGTGCCAGGATAAACTGTGAGAAAATATTGCAGATTGCCCTCTCCAAATTGATTTTCATCCGAACAAATAACAAAATCTATTAATTTATTCACGTTAATCTTGTACAAAACATTAATAAAACATCTTGGAAATGGTGGGTTATTTCTTTATAAATACCATGCAATCGAAATAATGTAGTTTATCTGTCTTTGTGAAACTATACAATGGAAATAATTTTTCTTCGCGCAAAGTTACTATAAAACAGGCATAAAAAGGCATGACTTGAATTTGTGTGTTCAGTGGGCGGCAGGTAGCCTAGCGGTTAGAGCGTGGTTGGGCAAGAAATCGAAAGGTCGGCCGACCTTGTAAAACAACACATTTCACTGCACCATTTGGTGTATGTGACAATAAAACATATTGTGTTCAATTCTTTGCTCTGCAATTCATTGTAAAGCACCACAGCTCTCTTGTCAAACGCAGCCACTTTGCCAAAACATGAAATCGATCCAAAAGCAGCTATTAAGCACCGTTCCCGCCATCCTCAATCTTTTTGAGAATGGACCGGAGCAGTAGTCTCTCCGCTCTCTGTAGGATGATATCGTCTATAGTCTGCCGGTCCCCGGTCTCCTCCCCGGCGGGGATGCCCTGTCCTCGAGCCAACGTCAGGTTGCAGACCGCTAGAGATGCCAGAGTGATCAGGCAGGCGGACTTCATGGTGACTTGGCTATTCATTCGAAAACAAGAGAATAGATCATTATTAGTGGACATATACTACTTTCAAAGCATGCAGGCTGCATAATAATTCATTGACTTGGCGCTGCATAACTAATTTTGAGTTTTCTATCTGTTTTACGCACATAATACGTTTCAATATTGGTGCATAAAACTGGAAAATTATTTTTGGAATAGATATTTACAACAACAACAAAAAACAATTGGAGCACGTCCATGTACAAAAAGACGAATTGAAGTGACCCAAACTTACCTTAGATTTGTTTTCTGGCTAGTGTCACTCACAGCACCTCCAATAACCTTAATTTGCAGCAAACCAACACGAAAGGTTGTTCTTTGCCTCTTGCAGCGCTTGGTGACCCGTTGAGGCCAAGTTTAGAGGTATGTGCAGATACAACGCGTCCAGCCATTTATAGTCAGCGGTTACCATCGTCACGCCAACCATGCTGTAGTAATTTCATAGGATTCCTTTCATAGGATTCCAATGATGTCACAAATTCGTGCGCAATTGGATTAAAGTCAGTTCTAACCTCTAGAGGACGATGTCGGGTTATTCTCTTGGGCGCTAGCTGGGCCGACCAGCCGAATCTGAGGGAGTGAAATGGCACTTGATGATGATGACTGCGAGAGAGGATTAATTCATAAATCTTCTAATCATATTTGAGTGTGGTAATTTGGCAGAACACCGATTTAAATTCATTCACTTATTTAGATAGTGTGGCTTTCCTTACTAGTCGTTTGTTAAGATTATAGGCCTACACTAAATATCAATGATGAAAATGTTTGGATTCATTCATAAGCCTACTAGCTACAGCCCCTATATCTGTATTTTCTTTCCAATCATAGACATTCATTTGTGCGTCATTGTTGGAAATGGCGTTGTTGTGCGCCATCTCCATGTCATTATTTTCCTAAATTCTCATCGTATTTAAACCTTTGATAATATAGCTCCTGTGAGTCAATAAGAAGAAAAGCGCATTAAGAATAGATGGCCCAGAAGGCTCTATATCAGCCCCTCGCGGTCACAGGTGTGAGACATGGTGTCTCTCATGCGCCAAGTGAGCCCACCACGAGGGACAGGCCTCAAGCGCGCATTTATTAATGGTCTCGTGGTCCCGCCCGCACCTGATGGAATCATTGAGGAGCGCAAACAATATTATCCTAATTTGCGAAGCGGCTGGACTGGGATCATTATGCACTGTCTGTTCAAACAGCTAACACACAGCTCAGATACCCATACAGTGCCTTCAGAAAGTATTCATACCCCTTGACTTATTCCACATTTTGTTGTGTTACAGCATGTAATCAAAATAGATTAAACTGAGTTTTTCTCAACCATCTACACACAATACCCCATAATGACAAAGTGAAGACATGTTTTTCGAAATATTAGCAAATTTATTGAAAATGAAATACAGAAATATCTCATTTACAAATGTATTCACACCCCTGACTCAATACTGTGAAGAAGCACCTTTGGCAGCGATTACAGCTGTGACTCTTTCTGGGTAAGTCTCATAGAGCTTTCCACACCTGCAATATTTGCCCATTATTCTTTTCAAAATTCTTCAAGCTCTGTCAAATTGGTTGTTGATCATTGCTAGACAACCATTTTCAGGTCTTGCCTTAGATTTTCAAGTAAATTTAAGCTAAAACTGTAACTCGGCTACTCATGAACATTCACTGTCTTCTTGGTAAACAACACCAGAATATATTTGGCCTTGTGTTTTAGGTTATTGTCCTGCTGGAAGGTGAATTCATCTCCCAGTATCTGGTGGAAAGCAGACTGAACCAGGTTTTCCTCTGTGCTTAGCTCCATTCCATTTCTTTTTTATCCTAAAAAACTCCCCAGTCCTTAACAATTACAAGCATATCCATAACATGATGCAGCCCCCGCTATGCTTGAAAATATGGAAAGTGGTACTCAGTATTGTGTTGTATTGGATTTGCCCCAAATATAACACTTTGTATTCAGGACAAAAAGTTAATATACTGTAAATCAGTATATTGCCACTCACTTCTTTCCTGCTGGAATAGTGATATTATCCCCACGGTGTAGGCGACTGTGGGTAGGAGTTTTGGTTTATGTAGTAATCCATATTCTGTTTGACCTTTATCCATGACAGTATCTATAATGTTGAGCAGACATTCAGACACACTCCCTCATGATTCACAGGTCAGACAGACATCCGGTAAATGTCCAGCCAAACTGCTATGTGATAAACTACAACAGGGTGTGTTAGATGAAAATGATCCAGTTAAATGAGCACTCTGTAGCTTTTCTTTCCTTTGAAACTAAATTTAAACCTATCAGGACGCTGTTCGTCCTTGTTCTCTTCTTCCTCTTTTATTTTCCAGGCCCTACTTGCAAAGACACACTGTTGGCCGGATATTAGGGTCGGACAGTATCCAGAGTTTCATATTGTCATACCGTCCTTCTCTCATCTGGGATTTACGGTATTACCGACTTAGTACACAAGAAGGAATTGTCCAACAGGTTTTTAATTGTAAGCTTATTTACTTGATTAGCGTTGCATTTTTGTTGTATTCTGATGAAAATGAAGCTATTTTCTGCCGAATGTTGCACTGATGTATTTTCTGTGAAGGAAAACTATAGTTGCACGTCCCTGATCACCTATTGAAGCAAAAAACACTGTTGACTTTCAATATAAAACGCATCCCCTGTCAATACATACGCCCAAACCTAACGGAAATATAAGCTATGAAGTGCACTTTCAATGCATAGAACAAGATCTTGCTGATTTCTAGCCAAACCTACACACCTTACGTAAGAGATATACTGTAGCTCATCTAGTTAAATCACACCAGGGACATTCTGCAGAATTGAAGTCAGGTCCTTCTGTAAAACATCACTTGGGGCCGGGACCGGGGTCTAACCACCCCCCACTTGATTCAGAGAACAGACATTTAAAGCGGGTGTCCAGACTGGGGGTGATTACTTGCTAAAGTACTCTTCTGTGGAGGGACACGGCTAGAGACACGAGCACAATTAACACCAGAGAATGTTTGACCTGTGAGGCCTCCGCTTCTGCAGTCGTCTCCACACCTCAAACTGTAATCACAGTGTGTAAAGACATAGGCCTACATGCTGCACGGGGACCAATTAATTATGCACCCAGCACAGCAGATGAGAAACCGTGTGTTTGTTGGTTTTTCTAGCCTACGGATGGCCAGTGCTCGCTAACGCTGTAAGACGTTGAAAGTGGAGTTGTGATTTGATTCATTCTGTGCCCATTTGAAGCCTGTGTAAAAGCAGATGAGGGAGAGCTTCTAATGAGTAACATACTGTACATGGAGAGGACGTGTTCTAATAGGATAGAATTAGAATCTAGAAAACTCTGTGTCGCATCTGACCCACCTGTGGAGTAGGATAAGAATATGCACTTGTCTTTTCCTATACTTTGCAGATAACTACTTTGTTGAGGGAAAATGTACTTGTTACGATTGTGATATGTTGTCTCACCTAGCTATCTTAAGATGAATGCATTAATGTAAGTCGCTCTGGATAAGAGCGTCTGCTAAATGACTAAAATGTAGTTATAGCACTCTTTCTGTCTATCAATTCTATGATTCAGATATTTAAATGTATGCATTGAAAAAAATACTCAAGAACTCACTGATAGGGGACACATGTTCCCCTGATGTTACTATAGGTCTAGTCTGCTCTTCCCTCATGTTACGTGCACTTGCTGGGAGTTAAAGTTGTGGGTAGTTCACATTTTAAACAGCCATACCTTTTGGCAGTTGCAGTTTCTTTCATGACACTGTTCTGGAGGCGCTCTGTCCCTAATGGAGTTCCCTTGTGCAATGCTTATAGGCACTATACTATAATTAAGGCAAGCGCTTCCTTCCTTCACCTCTCGTCAATAAGACCAAATATAAAGGAGGCTGGAGGAGGGTTATTAAAAGTGGGGAATCATAACAATTAGAGAGCAGGTCTATGGTATTTGCTGGTGAAGAGGACATCTTAAATATACCCTTTGCAATGATGCTTGTCTAACTCAACATCCACTGTTTACTTTCCACTGTCCTTGTTATTAATTTTTTTCAGTCGTGAGGAAGTTTATAAAGTTTTGGTTTCCACTTGCAGATCTGATAAGCATTCATCTAGATGAAGTAGGAAGTTGGACACAATCAAGGGAAATAATTGTACTTAATTAATCCTTGAGGCTGCATCCTACAGCCCCCAGACTGCTAACAGCTTCAGTAATGGCTAGAGTTTGTGCTTGTTTTTGAGCGTTTTCTCCCATGGAGAACGAGAAACAGAAATAGAATGGCACCAGTGGTTGTTTGGAATTTTCTCTCAACACTCAGGAGGAGAAGGAGAAGTTTTGCGAAAGTGAACCCAACAGAGCAAGGGAAACACATCAAAAGATAGGTGAGTCAGAAAGAGAGGCGGCAAGTGTCCCCAAAGTTCCCGAAGCCTAACTTGTGGGTGTAAGTGAGAGAACAGTGACGCAGAGGTGGAATCCAAGTAAGAGGGAGAGTGCGAGAGCAAGAGGGAAAGAGAGAGAAAGAGAGAGAAATAGAGGGGAAATAACACAGAAGCCTAACTGAAGCAGTCAGAGGAAAGAAATACTGACCAGACAGCTGCCAGGGACAGAAGGCTACTAGCTGCTGAGAGACAGACAGGATGGAAGCAGACAGATTCAAATAGAAAGTAAAATAAATAAACAAACAAACAAACAGAAGAGCTGGTGTGTGGATGGAGTGACAATGTGACAACCACCTCTAACCTGGCATTGACACTGCCCTGACAGGGGTCACTGTGGCTGGGTGTGAGTGACAGGTACAGGCCCTGGTCATGGAGGTGGCTGGGTGGGTGGGGGACTGGTGATTAGGCAGTATCTGGACACTGAAGTCAGATGGGGTCTGGAAGGCTGGTTGTTCTCTGTTGCTCTTCAGGCTCGGAGTCAAACCCAAGACACCCACTGCATACTAACTATGGACTGATGGGCTAATAGAGGGTAATGGCCATTAACTGTTAAAGCCAAAGGTTGTGAGAAATACCTTATTATATCCCTGTATTGCTTTTATAAGCGGCTAAATGTTGTGTTTTAATTACAGGTTTTGTATTTTACATTGCGATGGGGTTGAACAGATCTTAGAAAAAAGGGTTCCAAAGGGTTCTTCAGCTGTCCCCATAGGAAAACCCTTTTTGGTTCCAGGTAGACCCCTTTTTGGTTCCAGGTAGAACCCTTGATGGAAAGGGTTCTTCATAGTACCCAAAAGGGGTCTACCTGGAAACAAAAGGATTCTACCTGGAACCAAAAAGGGTTCTTCAAAGGGTTCTCATATGGGGAAAGCCGAATAACCCTTTTAGGTTCTAGATAGCACCTTTTCTTCTAAGAGTGTACTCAATCTACTGCCCGTGTTTCATTATTATATAGTTAATAATGCAATATGATTGTTTAATGTAATATCTATGTTTTAAAAGGAAATGCTAATTGGGGGTAGGGTATTAAAGTATAACTCTCTCAGGTGCATGTAGTGCCTCGTGAAGCCTAAGTGAGTTACAATGAGCACATGTTCAGCCTCATTGACTTCCTCTCACTAGTCAATGCAGCCCACAGATCCATCCATCAGCTGCAGGCAGCTCACTCCTGTCTAATGCAATGGGGGCTGGACACACGAGAGACCAGTTCTACCCCACTCCAAGAAATGTTACATGTACCAAAATACATGTAAATGAATTAGTCTTATACACTGAACAAAAATATAAATGCAACATGTAAAGTGTTTCATGAGCTGAAATAAAAGATCCCAGAAATGTTCAATACGTAAAAAATGTTTATTTCTCTCAAATTTTGTGCACAAATTTGTTTACATCCCTGTTAGTGAGCATTTCTCCTTTGCCAATATAATCCATCCACCTGAGACGTGTGGCATATCAAGAAGCTGATTAAACAACATGATCATTACACAGGTGCACCTTGTGCTGGGGACAATAAAAGGCCACTCTAAAATGTGCAGTTTTGTCACACAACACAATGCCACAGATGTCTCAAGTTTTGATGGAGTGTGCAATTGGCATGCTGACTGCAGGAAAGTCCACCAGAGCTGTTGGCAGATAATGTAATGTTCATTCCTTTATCATAAGCCGCCTCCAACGTCGTTTTAGAGATTTGGCAGAACACCAAACCGGCCTCACAACCTCAGACCACGCCAGCCCAGGACCTCCACATCCTGCTTCTTCACCTGCAGGAACGTCTGAGACCAGCCACCCGGACAGCTGATGAAACTGAGGTGTATTTATGTCTGTAATAAAGCCCTTTTGTGGGGAAAAACTCATTCTGATTGGCTGGGCCTGGCTCCCCAGTGGGTGGGCCTATGCCCAGTCATGTGAAATCCATATATTAGGGCCTAATGAATTTATTTCAATTGACTGATTTCCTTATAAGAACTGTAACTCAGTAAAATCGTTGAAATTGTTGCATGTTGCGTTTATATTTTTGTTCAGTATACATTACCTTCTTACACTAGATGGCTCACCTTCATCATGTAGAGAAGCTCTGAGATGATAGATCTCTGAGAGGACCTCATAGGGCTGGGCTTGTCTGTTTACGTTTTACGTTTTAACGTTTTAAGTCATTTAGCAGACGCTCTTATCCAGAGCGACTTACAGTTAGTGAATACATATATATTTTTTATACTGGCCCCCCGTGGGACTCGAACCCACAACCCTGGCGTTGCAAACGCCATGCTCTATCAACTGAGCTACATCCCTGCCGGCCATTCCCTCCCCTACCCTGGACGACGCTGGGCCAATTGTGCGCCGCCCATGAGTCTCCCGGTCACGGCCGGCTGCGACAGAGCCTGGATTAGAACCAGGATCTCTAGTGGCACAGTTAGCACTGCGATGCGGCGCCTTAGACCACTGCGCCACTCAGGAGACAAAGGCAGTCAAAGGCAGTAACTGGTGTGTCTCTCTCCTGCAGGGCGAGAGGACAGGCGTGCGTCACAAAGTACGGGCTCTGGGACAGGACGCATGGGGAGAACTGTGAGGGAATCAGCGGGGTATCCCTAGGCTGTGCTCCTAAACTTCCTCACTGGAACAAGGTGTTTATTTCACAAAGATGTTTTATCCTGATCTTAAAAAAATCTTAGCCCTATATTTAGGTGCTACTTTGGGGAATTGTGTTTTGTGCCCACATGTTAGGCTCTTCGCCAGGTTGTTGCTGGGAGGCCAAAGTCACTACTCTGACGTCTTTCGCTGTTTTTCTCTCTCCAGTAGAATTCATCTCTTTTAGTAAACTGATGGAGAGAATTGTGTTTGACCAAATACAATGCTATTTTTCAGAGAACAAGTTAACTACTGACTTTCAGCATGCATACAGTGGGGAAAAAAAGTATTTAGTCAGCCACCAATTGTGCAAGTTCTCCCACTTAAAAAGATGGGAGAGGCCTGTAATTTTCATCATAGGTACACGTCAACTATGACAGACAAATTGAGAAAAGAAAATCCAGAAAATCACATTGTAGGATTTTTAATGAATTTATTTGCAAATTATGGTGGAAAATAAGTATTTGGTCAATAACAAAAGTTTCTCAATACTTTGTTATATACCCTTTGTTGGCAATGACACAGGTCAAATGTTTTCTGTAAGTCTTCACAAGGTTTTCACACACTGTTGCTGGTATTTTGGCCCATTCCTCCATGCAGATCTCCTCTAGAGCAGTGATGTTTTGGGGCTGTCGCTGGGCAACACAGACTTTCAACTCCCTCCAAAGATTTTCTATGGGGTTGAGATCTGGAGACTGGCTAGGCCACACCAGGACCTTGAAATGCTTCTTACGAAGCCACTCCTTCATTGCCCGGGCAGTGTGTTTGGGATCATTGTCATGCTGAAAGACCCAGCCACGTTTCATCTTCAATGCCCTTGCTGATGGAAGGAGGTTTTCACTCAAAATCTCACGATACATGGCCCCATTCATTCTTTCCTTTACACGGATCAGTCGTCCTGGTCCCTTTGCAGAAAAACAGCCCCAAAGCATGATGTTTCCACCCCCATGCTTCACAGTAGGTATGGTGTTCTTTGGATGCAACTCAGCATTCTTTGTCCTCCAAACACGACGAGTTGAGTTTTTACCAAAAAGTTCTATTTTGGTTTCATCTGACCATATGACATTCTCCCAATCCTCTTCTGGATCATCCAAATGCACTCTAGCAAACTTCAGACGGGCCTGGACATGTACTGGCTTGAGCAGGGGGACACGTCTTGCACTGCAGGATTTGAGTCCCTGGCGGCGTAGTGTGTTACTGATGGTAGGCTTTGTTACTTTGGTCCCAGCTCTCTGCAGGTCATTCACTAGGTCCCCCCGTGTGGTTCTGGGATTTTTGCTCACCGTTCTTGTGATCATTTTGACCCCACGGGGTGAGATCTTGCGTGGAGCCCCAGATCGAGGGAGATTATCAGTGGTCTTGTATGTCTTCCATTTCCTAATAATTGCTCCCACAGTTGATTTCTTCAAACCAAGCTGCTTACCTATTGCAGATTCAGTCTTCCCAGCCTGGTGCAGGTCTACAATTTTGTTTCTGGTGTCCTTTGACAGCTCTTTGGTCTTGGCCATAGTGGAGTTTGGAGTGTGACTGTTTGAGGTTGTGGACAGGTGTCTTTTATACTGATAATAAGTTCAAACAGGTGCCATTAATACAGGTAACGAGTGGAGGACAGAGGAGCCTCTTAAAGAAGAAGTTACAGGTCTGTGAGAGCCAGAAATCTTGCTTGTTTGTAGGTGACCAAATACTTATTTTCCACCATAATTTGGTGGAAATCCTACAATGTGATTTTCTGGAGAAAAAAAATCTCAATTTGTCTGTCATAGTTGACGTGTACCTATGATGAAAATTACAGGCCTCTCTCATCTTTTTAAGTGGGAGAACTTGCACAATTGGTAGCTGACTAAATACTTTATTCCCCCACTGTATATAGAAGGGCACTCAACTTGTACTGCACTGACTTAGATGACAGATGATTGGTTAAAATAAATAGATAATAAGATGATAGTTGGAGCTGTATTGTTAGATTTCAGTGCAGTCTTTGATGTTATTGATCATAAATTGTTATTGAAGAAACTCACTTGCTATGGCTTTACATCACCTGCCATCTTGTGGTTGGATAGTTATTTATCCAATAGAACCCAAAGTGTGTTCTTCAGTGGAAGCTTCTCTAACATCAGATATGTACAGTGAGGTGTTGCCTTGGGCCGTTACTCTTCTCTATTTTTACAAAGCTAGAATGACTATGTATGTGGATGATTCCACACTCTACGTGTCAGCACCCAAAGCCAGTGATCTCACTGACATTCTAAATTAGGAGTTACAGTCAGTATCAGAATGGGTGATTAATAATAAACTGGTCTTAAATACATCTACAACTAAAAGCATTGTATTTAGTTCAAAACATTCTGTAAAACCTAAACCTCAACTGGAGTGACCATTGAGCAAGTTGAGGAAGCTAAACTCCTAGGTATAACATTGGATGGTCAATTATCATGATCAAGTCATATTGACAAAGTTGTTGTGAAGATGGGGAGGGGTATGTCTGTTATAAAAATGTTCTGTGTTTTTGACACAAAAGTCAACTGTACTAGTTGCTAAGGCTCTGGTCTCATATTGATTACTGTCCGGTAATATGGTCAAGTGCAGCAAAGAAAGACCTAGCCAAGCTGCAGCTGGCTCAAAACAGAGCAGCACGCCTTGCCTTTAACTGCACATACAGAACTAACATCAACAACATGCATGGCAGTCTTTCCTGGTTGAGGGTTGATGAGAGATTAATTGCTTCTCTTATAGTTTTTATGAGAAATATTACTGTGATGAAAATTCCAGATTGTCTGCATAATCAAATAACATACAGCTCTGACACCCATACATACCCCACAATATATGCCACCAGGGGTCTCTTCACATTCCCCAAGTCCAAAACGAATTCACAGAGCCATGATCGCATGGAACTTTCTTCCATCTCCAATTATTCAAGCAAAAGCAAAATTACCTTTAGAAAACTGATTAAACAATATCTCATGGAACAGCAGGGACTGTGAGGGGACACAAACACAAGCACACAGACACACTAACACACACATTATTTTTTAGTTGTATTGTTTGTATATCGTTGTATTTTAAATTTGTGTGACTGTCCTTGTCTATCAGTGTATCAGTGTTACTTTTTTGTGGACCCCAGGAAGAGTAGCTGCTTCTTCTGCTAAAGCTAATGGGGATCTTTCACCACACCCAAGGGTGCACTGGAATCCCAACACACAGACAGAGAGAGACAAAACAAAGTTAGTATTATTTCTCTTCAGATTGAATCTCTGTCTTAAGCTGTGTGGTGTGACTCTGAAAATCTCATTATCTCTCAATAACCTGAGAGGCGGCTGTGTGTTCCTCCAGACGGAGTCCATGATTAGCACTCCGCTACCACATGCTACAGCGCACTCATCATCTCTCTCGTCTTTCTCTCTCTCCTTCCCTCCATCTCTGCCCCCCTCCATCTCTCCCTCCCTCTGTCACAGTCAGGTAATGTCTGAGACCATGTGTAATAGAGGAAGATTGAGCTGATCTTTCCCTCTCAACGCCTGAGTCAAATGCAGATGTAAGATTCAGATATTAGATTTTGGTGAATTTCGTGTGGCTGCTTAACTTGCTTGGAGAGTTTTTGGGGTTTTGTACTGAGGTCAGACACAGTGATGTGGAATGTCTAATACTGTACTGTAGGTAGGTATTGGGTAACTGGGTTCTTCTGAGTGCTGGGATTCTAGGAATAAAAGCTTGTCTTGCAGCAACACATGGGTACACACAAAGCCATGACATCAGTCATAGCCATGACCCTGTGACCCTTTGACCTGTCAGTTGTCAAGGAGATTACCTTATCTCAAACAGAGAGGTCCCCCACATAAAAAAATACTACAGTTTACTATACAATACTATAGTGCTTACTATAGAATTTATATAATTCTGTAATACACTGTAGTATACTGTATAATTCTATACTCCACACTGTAGTATCCCTCGATCATGTAGTGCTTACTTTAGAATGATGTAGTATACTGTAGAATACTATACTACACACTGTAGTATCCCTCGGTTGTGTAGTGCAGGGGTGTCAAACTCATTCCACGGAGGGCCTAGTGTGTCACGATCGTCACATAGTGTCTGCGGGTTTTGGTTTTTCCTTTCAATGAAGACCTAGACAACCAGGTGAGGGGAGTTCTTTACTAATTAGTGACCTTAATTTATCATTCAAGTACAAGGGAGGAGCGAAAACCCGCAGAAACTCGGCCCTCCATGGAATGAGTTCGACACCTGTAATGTAGTGCTGACTTTAGAATGTTGTAGTATACTGTAGAATACTATACTCCACACTTTTTTTCCTCTGAAGAAGCACGAATTGTGCGAAACGTCTGGAATTTTTTCTTCCTCGTGGTCAAAAGTTTTGAGAATGACACAAGTATTGGTCTTCACAAAGTTTGCTGCTTCAGTGTTTTTAGATATTTTTGTCAGATGTTACTATGGTATACTGAAGTATAATTACAAGCATTCCATAAGTGTCAAAGGCTTTTATTTACAATTAAATTAAGTTTATACAAAGAGTCAATATTTGCAGTGTTGACCCTTCTTTTTCAAGACCTCTGCAATCCGCCCTGGCATGCTGCCAATTAACTTCTGGGCCACATCCTGACTGATGGCAGCCCATTCTTGCATAATCAATGCTTGGAGTTTGTCAGAATTTGTGGGTTTTTGTTTGTCCACCCGCCTCTTGAGGATTGACCACAAGTTCTCAATGGGATTAAGGTCTGGGGAGTTTCCTGGCCATGGACCCAAAATGTCGATGTTTTGTTCCCCGAGCCACTTAGTTATCACTTTTGCCTTATGGCAAGATGCTCCATCATGCTGGAAAATGCATTGTTCGTCACCAAACTGTTCTTGGATGGTTGGGAGAAGTTGCTCTCGGAGGATGTGTTGGTACCATTCTTTATTCATGGCTGTGTTCTTAGGCAAAATTGTGAGTGAGCCCACTCCCTTGGCTGAGAAGCAACCCCACACATGAATGGTCTCAGGATGCTTTACTGTTGGCATGACACAGGACTGATGGTAGCGCTCACCTTGTCTTCTCCGGACAAGCTTTTTTCCGGATGCCCCAAACAATCTGAAAGGGGATTCATCTGAGAAAATGACTTTACCCCAGTCCTCAGCAGTCCAATCCCTGTACCTTTTGCAGAATATCAGTCTGTCCCTGATGTTTTTCCTGGAGAGAAGTGGCTTCCTCGCTGCCCTTCTTGACACCAGGCCATCCTCCAAAAGTCTTTGCCTCACTGTGCGTGCAGATGCACTCACACCTGCCTGCTGCCATTCCTGAGCAAGCTCTGCACTGGTGGTGCTCCGATCCCGCAGCTGAATCAACTTTAGGAGACGGTCCTGGCACTTGCTGGACTTTCTTGGGCGCCCTGAAGCCTTCTTCACAACAATTGAACCTCTCTCCTTGAAGTTCTTGATGATCAGATAAATGGTTGATTTAGGTGCAATCTTACTAGCAGCAATATCCTTGCCTGTGAAGCCCTTTTTGTGCAAAGCAATGATGACGGCACGTGTTTCATTGCAGGTAACCATGGTTAACAGAGGAAGAACAATGATTTCAAGCACCACCCTCCTTTTAAAGCTTCCAGTCTGTTATTCTAACTCAATCAGCATGACAGAGTGATCTCCAGCCTTGTCCTCATCAACACTCTCACCTGTGTTAACGAGATAATCACTGACATGATATCAGCTGGTCCTTTTGTGGCAGGGCTGAAATGCAGTGGACATTTCATTGGGGGATTAAGTTCATTTTCATGGCAAAGAGGGACTTTGCAATTAATTGCAATTCATCTGATCACTCTTCATAACATTCTGGAGTATATGCAAATTGCCATCATAAAAACTGAGGCAGCAGACTTTGTGAAAATTAATATTTGTGTCATTCTCAAAACTTTTGACGACGACTGTAGTATCCCTTGATTGATTGATTGATTTTATTTGACTATTTAAAAACATGATGGTAGCGCTCACCTTGACCACAAATGTGGATACAATGCATTTACAAATTTGACGAGAATTACAACATGATTTCCATTGTGGTCCTAGTTACATAATTTTTTTTTTTACACATTTACAGCTAACCCACGTAAAAAAAAAATCTGTAGTATACTATGGTCTAAATGAGGGATCATCAAGTAGATTCAGCCGAGGGCTGATTTTTTTCTTGAGCGGATGGTCAGGGAGCCGGAAAATTGACTGCCCAAACAAATATAACATTTGACTAAAAACAACAATTTCAAACCTTTCTTACATTTGTATTCGATCACATACAGTATATCACTGTTATGCGTGGGAATATTTTGAAACAGATTTCCAAATTTGAAAATCCCGTAGAGCTGATTTGGTGGTGTTTTTACAGTCTTTAATGTCCAACAATAAAAATTAAATATAAGTTTTCTTTGGTTCAGAAATCTTGGGGGGAGCAAAATAAAATCACCAGCGGGCCGCCATTTGGGGAACATTGGTCTAAATACGGTAGTAGTACTATATTCAGATCCCTTGACTTTTACCACATTTTGTTACATTACAGCCTTATTCTAAAATGGATTAAATAAATAAAAATCCTCAGCAATCTACACACAGTACCCCATAATGACAAAGCGAAAACAGGTTTTTAGAGATATTAGCAAATTTATTACAAATAAAAAACAGAAATACCTTATTTACATAAGTATTCAGACCCTTTGCAATGAACTCGAAATTGAGCTCAGGTGCATCCTGTTTCCATTGATCATCCTTGAGATGTTTCTACAACTTGATTGGAGTCTACCTGTGGTAAATTCAATTGATTGGACAAGATTTGGAAAGGCATAAACCTGTCTATATAAGGTCCCACAGTTGACAGTGCATGTCAGAACAAAAACCATGAGGTCAAAGGAATTGTCCGTAGAGCTCCGAGACAGGATTGTGTCGAGGCACAGATCTGGGGAAGGGTACCAAAACATTTCTGCAGCATTGAAGGTCCCCAAGAACACAGTGGCCTCCATCATTCTTAAATGGAAGATGTTTGGAACCACCAAGACTCTTCCTAGAGCTGGCCGCCCGGCCAAACTGAGCAGTCGTTGGAGAAGGGCCTTGGTCAGGGAGGTGACCAAGAACCTGATGGTCAGTCTGACAGAGCTGTAGAGTTCCTCTGAGGAGATGGGAGAACCTTACAGAAGGACAATCATCTCAGCAGCTCTCCATCAATCAGGCCTTTATGGTAGATTGGCCAGACGGAAGCCACTCCTCAGTAAAAGGCAAATGACAGCCCGCTTGGAGTTTGCCAAAAGGCACCTAAAGACTCTCAGACCATGAGAAACAAGATTCTCTGGTCTGATGAAACCAAAATTGAACCCTTTGGCCTGAATGCCAAGCATCACGTCTGGAGGAAACCTGGCACCATCCCTATAGTGAAGCAGGGTGGTGGCAGAATCATGCTGTGGGGATAGTTTTCAGCGGCAGGGACTGGGAGACTGGTCAGGATCGAGGCAAAGATGAACGGAGAGATTTACATAGAGATCCTTGATGAAAACCTGCTCCAGAGCGCTCAGGACCTCAGACTGGGGCGAAGGTTCACCTTCCAACAGGACAACGACCCTAAGCACACAGCCAAGACAACACAGGAGTGGCTTCGGGACAAGTCTCTGAATATCCTTGAGTGGCCCAGCCAGAGCCTGGACTTGAACCCGATCTAACATCTCTGGAGAGACCTCAAAATAGCTGTGCAGCTACGCTCCCCATCCAACCTGACAGAGCTTGAGAGGATCTGCAGAGAGGAATGGGAGAAACTCCCCAAATACAGGTGTGCCAAGCTTGTAACGTCTTACCCAAGAATAATTGATGCTGTAATCACTGCCAAAGGTGATTCAACAAAGTACTGAGTAAAGGGTCTGAATACTTATGTAAATGTGATATTTCAGTTTTGTATTTTTTATTAATTTGCAAAAATGTCTAAAAACCTGTTTTGCTTTGTCATTATGGGGTATTGTGTGTAGATTGATGAGGGAAAAAATGATTGTATCAATTTTAGAATAAGGCTGTAATGTAACAAAATATGGAAAAAGTCAAGGGTTCTGAATACTTTCCAAAGATACCATATATACTATAGTATTCACTGTAGTGTTTCTGCAGACATGACTGTAGTATACTGTACTATTTACTGTAGTGTTTTTGCGGACATACAGTACCAGTCAAAAGTTTGGACACACCTACTCATTCCAGGGTTTTTCTTGTTTTTGACTGTTTTCTACATTGTAGAATAATAGGGAAGATATCAAAAGTATGAAATAACACATATGGAATCATGTAGTAACCAAAAAAGTGTTAAACAAATCAAAATATATTTTATATTTGGGATTCTTCAAAGTAGCCACCCTTTGCCTTGATGACAGCTTTGCACACTCTTGGCATTCTCTCAACAAGCTTCACGAGGTAG